AATAAAGTGACACTGGACTTTCAGTGCACTGGAACTACATGTTGAGAGCCAGTATTACTTAAGGAGTCCTTTATACCATAATAATGACTTTATTCTCAGTGACAGGTGAGTGATTCAAGGGCAAGGCTGAAGAGTAGGCATCAGAAAAACGAACTGGGGAGCACTGCAGATTTTCTTAGGTACCTTTGTGACTTCTTTGATAGTACAAAAAAAAAGGTGAGAGCAATGACATGCCCTAATTGCAATTTCTCTGGTACTTATGTACCTCAGTAGTTGTAGGACTGCAGGATTTTCAAACTAGTTTTACTGCATGACAATGGGGTATGTTGTAGGCAGAAAAAAAAAAAGAGTGGATATAACAAAAAATTTGGCCTTGAATTTTTAGAAGAATATGTTTCAGGGGAGGGTGGGGAAACGTGTTCCTCCTCAGCCCCCAAATCAACAAGTACAACATACTTGCAGGATCTTACAAGAGATTATGAACATCTTGAAAGGAGGACAGACTTTGGAAACTACAGCCCTACAACTCCTTGGAAGATTATGGAGGAGATCCTCCTGAAAATCACTGCAAAGTAGATGAAGGAAAAGAAGGCATTTAGGAAAAAAACAAGCATGGAAAAAAATGAGTCTGGTGCAAGGAGCACCTTAATTGATTGTCTTGTATAATGAGCAGACTGGCTCAAAGCACAAGAGCAGTGGATGTCCTTCCTCAACATCAGAAAGACTTTTGATGTGATCTCCTATGATGCTTTTTTATAACCCTATCAGAGAGAGAAGCTCAACAAAGGCATTCTGTCAGAAAAAGAATTTGGAGTTCTTACAAAGGCATCTAAGCCCCAACCATGAAGCTAAATATTTGCAATGCACTGGCAGGAATTGACAAAAATCAATTATATGTTGATGATTATGTACACTTAAAGACACAGTGAAAAAAGAAATCTGTTGCAAAAATGTTTTTGTCAAGACTAGTAAATTGAACAAAAATATACTGCTAACCCAGTCATAGTAAAAATGAAACTCTCAGAAAATTGAAGTTATAGAGTATCCTTTTCTCAGCGATATAAAGATGTCAATTCAGAATCAAAGGAACCTTATCTGCTCAGGTTCTGATGTATCAGTTCAAGTTCTGACAAATGATTAAGTCATTTGGTGAAAATACAGAAATATATTTTTTATGTAAATGTGAGTTTTGTGTAGAAAACTGTACCTTGCAGACACCACTAACTGAATAGAGTAGAAAGGGCAAAGCAAGAGAAGCAAGGTCATCAGCACCCTCTGAGCAGCCTTCTCATTTACACAACTTCTACAGACAAAACAGGAGTGACTATTCAGTTTACTGAAAACCTGGGGTTTTCATTACTACTGATAGAAAATTGTATACTGTCAGGAGAAAATATCACCAGACATTTTATTTCTTCTCTGACTTACTCAAAGTATTACAGAATTTTCCTGGTTTCAGCTGGGACACAATTATTTTTTGTCCTAGTACTGGTGCAATGCTGTGTTTTGGCTTTAGCCTGAAAATAATGCTGGTAACACATTGATATTTTAGTTGTTGGTCAGTAGCACTTACCCTGATCAAGGACTTTTCAGTCTCTTGTGCTCTGTGCCAGTGAGGAAGAGCACAAGAAGCTGGGAGAGAGCAGAGACAGGACACATAACCCAAAGTATCCAAAGGGATTCTATAATTCAATTATAAAGGCAGTTTAAGGTCTGCATTTAACCCTGCATAAATAAACTTATTTGAGGATCCAGGAATACTGTAGGCAAAAGTGGCAATTTTAGCATCTGCAGAGATATGTGAACTTTACAGTATTAAACCTAGCCACCCTTCACATTTGAATTGCAGTAGTGGAGAGCTCAGTTTATCATAGCTACTCAGCAGCCTGCCTGGGACTCTTATCAGAAGTAGGTCACTATCAGAATCAGAGGTGAACCTTGTAATATCAATGAACATGTTTTATCATCTCAGATCTAGCTAACTAAAAGATAGCTCTAGAGTATGCGTAAGAACTCAGTTCGTGCCTGTTACTCGTAATACAGCGTATCTGCTGCTAATATCACTGGACTTTCTGTCCTTCTCTGCTTTGTGCTAATGGGAAAGCAGTGATGCCCTGACCTGCAGAGCTCTACATAGAGGTCCCCACAAGGCCATTCTACAAACCATGTCACCAGTTTAGAGGCAACAGACTCGTTCCACAATGCTATTATTTAATATGCTTAAAGATATCTCAGGAGTTAATAGAATTATGTGACTTCAATGACTGTGTTCCTTTGCTTAAAGATCAAACTATTATTTTATAAAATAAATAAGCAATATGTAAAAGACTGCAAAGACATCAGTTACAAATGAGTTTCTGATTCTATGGTACATTTTAACTCCATATATACCCAACTTGAATCATTACTGCTTCAAAAAGAGATGTGGAAAATCATTGCTTTCTGTAGCACCCAAAGTGAGACAAAATGGCTGACGATCAGAATAGTTCTTCAGAATTCACAGTTTGCAGCGGCTAATGAGAGCTCAGAAGACCTGGCCAACTCTTAAATTTTACAGCACCAAGGTAAGTGTAACAAAACAGCTAATGTCATACGGAGGTGCCACAAGCCTGGGGAAACACCATGCAGCCACATCACAAATTCCTACTGTAAAGCTTAATACTGCTCCAGAGGGTTTTTTCGTCATTCCTTCATGACATGCCCAACTGCGTACATCACAAGTTACTGAAACTATCACAACTACTGAGCAAGTTAGCAAAAGACTAGAATATAAACTTAGTTCACAAGCACTGTGAGATGAGAACCAAGTTTATATACATTCTAATTTCTCATGTAGGTAACAAGTGGTTTAATGTTAATAGCTATAAACACACCTGTGACACCAAAAATACCTTCGTTTAAATACTTTGTCAAGTTAATGATCAGCTCTATCTCTTTTCTTCTGCTGGTTTGAGGCCACTTACTGACAAGTCTATCTGTTTTTCATGAGCCTCGCAGGACTAGCATGACCTTGCATCAGGCTCCTGCTAGACTGCATCCTGCTCCCTTACAGTAGTTACATTTCTGTGTATATTTTCCCCCCGAGATTTGTTAGCAACTCTGAGTGAAATCTGGACCCTACTTAAGTCTCTCATAATCTTACTTGAAATGAAAGTTTCCATGTTTACTTTAACCAGAACCAATGTTCTGCAATACAAAGCACTGTGCAAGCAAATATCCAAAATCATAACTCTCACATACAGTAACAGAACAGTAACACACACCATCCACATGCAGAAAGGAACTGGGAAAAGTCTACATACCATGACTAATGTTCTGCTACCCTTAAGAAATAGTATGCTCCCTGAAAGATTATACAACCTGGAAATTTTACACCAATTTCATAAAGTCTCCATATTAGAATATTCATACTAAAGACATTTATTGTTTAGGCATGATATGTTGTACTAGACATTAAGGTCTAACTGAACCCTTAAAATATTTATGTATAGATAAATGACAAACTATTGTAGAAAATTTAATGAATTCTAGAGTTTCAAAATTTTAAAGAACTTTAGAAGTGATCACACCTTCTATGGCAAGGTGGTGCAGGAAAAAATAAACTCACAGCCAAAGTTTCCTTTCATAGATGTCTTTCTGATTTTAGAAGGAGGAATCTGTCCTTATTGATTTACTTTTGGTATCAGTGTTTGGTACTTAAATCGTCATTTACGTACTTATGCACTGAGTGTTCCACCGTTTCCACGTCCCTCAAAATGCTGGTATTTGCATTTACTTAGAAATAATTACTATTTTTTTTATTATAGATTTGTCTTAGTTATTAATATTTTTAGCTACCATTATAAAAGCAACATCATGAACAATATTTTGTAACCGTTGGTATCTATAGTGAGTTGGAAAGTAAAAGAATGTCTGTTCCATAAAGTGATCAAAAGTCAACATTGTTGAGGATATACTGTCAATTAAATATTATAGAATTTTCCATTACTTAGGACAATATTGCTACTCTGTTTTGGAGAAAAAAAGGACAAAGACTACCTCACACATTTATTAACACAAGAGTGAACTAAGACAAATGGGAAACTGTCATGATCTTATTTCTGAATATACTTGAGACTTTTTTATATACATAAAAGTTTTCAGCAGACAGAATTTTCCACAAAGGCATTTAGGGTAAACATATTCTGCAGGCCTGTTAATTTTTGCAGTATGTGTGCTAAAATTCTTTGCAAATGGCTGACTTAAAAACATAATTAACATTCCACTCTGATCATAGGTGACCACTTGCATGGTAGAAAGAACTCAAAAAATTTTCAGTTTCTTTTAATCTACTGAAAACATTAATATAAACAGCATAACTGAATCAAAATAAATGAGATAAAATAAGCTACATTTCATTTCTGAATGTCTAGTATCTTGATTTTCTTTCTTCCTCTGTAACAACCTACTGCTTTATGATAAAACAACTGCATTTATGCAATATTAAAAATTGTTGTCTTTGAAGAATTAAATCCTAGACACATTACGCAATTTAGCAAGATTGCCTGTACCTAATGAGGAAAAAAAGAAAAAAACCCAGCAACAAAAAAACAGAAATCGCACCAGCTAATGCCAGAAAGAACTTAAGCATATACAAACCCATTCTTTATTTCCCTGCATTTTGCACATAACACAAATCCTGTGTTTCCAGAGTTCACATCAAATAAAGAATCAAATGTTCCATTCCCAGTGCTGAGGTTATTTGAAGTATAAAATATGCATGCTTTGAATCTCCTTTCTTTAGGATGAAACATTTCTTTCAAGAGCCAAGCAAGGTTTCAAAAGAAAAAAAAAATATCATTTTTGACAAGAAGGAAGCTTTCACTGTTAAGATATTCTCAAGGCAAACCTCTACTGATTGCTAATTTAGGAGGTGTAAGAATTAAACTTTGTAGTTTGAGACTGAAGAAATTAATTTATATTAGCTGTAAATTAAGAAACAAAAGATTAAAACCACATACCTTTCGGGAATGGATTTCTTTCACGTATAATGGAAGTAGAAATTCAGATATTCCTTCAAGTCGTATTCCTTTTTTAGTCACTCTCAAATTTCCCATTCCATCCTACAATCAATAATATATATAATTCACTTTAGGAAATAACCTTATCCAGAACAAGCTAAAAAGAACACAGTAGCTGGCCTAATAGCTAAAACTAATGAGTACTGTCCCACTGTTCGGAGCTCCTCTGATGATCTTGGACAGCAGCTAGATGGGGGAGGATTTATAGGTAAAGCTTCATCTAGGATCAAGGTATTAAACTGTGTAGCCTGATGATGAACCGCATACATTATTCCTTAGCTATACCTAATGCAAGGGTACAAATGTAGATCCTAAGTATTCCTTTGCTGAAGAAGTGAAGCTAGATCTAGAATTACAACTTCAAAATCACTAGTTAATTTTCTCTAAATATATATGTAACATTAGGTAAAGCAATCTGTTATTTTTACATAGTGAAATAATGGAAAAAATATTATGTCATTATTAGGAAAACACCATATAGGAAGAAAGTAGAAAGGGGGCTTTTAGTAGTAGTTGATTGTCACTACTAGGAGCATGTTGTTGATGAAAAGAACAACTTCAAAAATGTTGAGGGCTGTTTTCTGCTGTTATTTTTTGGTTTATTGAACAGAAATAGGAAAGGGACCATTGTAAAAGCCTGGATATAAAAAGCAAACCAAATGATTCAATGTTTAATATCATATAAGTAAAGAATACTTGCATTTATTGGCTTTGATTGTATTCTTACAGGAAAAACAATGAAAAATAAGGCTTTGGCTTTATTCTTACAGGAAAAACAATGAAAATTGCTTGATTCTGACGAGATGGGATCATTTTACATACTGATAGAATTCAAGACTTTTTACCCCTGGATGCCTGTTACTATAATCCTGACAGAAGATAGTTCTTTACCATACAGGCAGTGGAATTCAGCTAGATCCACTTAAGTGCAAAATTGTCGCATTTAACTTAACTGCTGATTAAATGTTTTGATGCCATTGCTGACCCTAATGTAGCAGAACAGTAAGAACTTGCATTTCTGTTCTGTTGGCTGAATTGTGATACAAATAACCTCCACTTGCTGGGCAGTTGTAAATAGCTAGAGAAAAGTGTCCCCAACTGCTACAGCTGATGCTGGGAGAGGACGCTGAATTAAACACTATTATGCTTATCTGAAGATGGTGTAGCCACTATACCATTACAGCTATTCCCTTTCTAAAACAAATGATGCCACTATGGCAGATATTTGATTGACATCACTACATCCACATCTGAAGCAAAACCATGAAAATGTTAATTCTTTCTGACAACAAACAGAATTACACTTCATACAATGCAATTCAGCCGACAAAGTTTCCCAGACACAGCAAGGATATGTGATAGGTAGCTTTCCACACTGAACATACCGTTAGAAATCATGACTTAAAATATGAGTTATAGGACTCGAAGCCTAAATGCTTCTGACTACAAAACCAGAAACTACCAGAGTCAGAAAATATACTGAACTCCTTTCCAAAGCAAATAAATATGGAATAACAAAATGCAATGTTAAGGCTTTCTATAATATAGAATATCCTTGTTAAACTAAGGCATCAAGGGAAATTCACAGATTCTGTAATAGTTTATGTTTATCAAAATGTGTAACTGATTAAATAAAGCCAAGAACTTTTCTTCAACTTTTGTTAGAAGAAGTGTTGTTTGTATTCAACTATATATCATGGTTTAACTTTGTCCAGCAACTAAACCTCATGTAGCTGCTCACTCATACACACACCCTCTCCAGCGGGATGGGGGGAAAATCAGAAGGGTAAAAGTGAGAAAAATTGTGCGTTAAAACAGTTTAACAGGGAAAGCAAAAGCTGCGCACTAGCAGAGCAAGGAATTCCATCACCACTTCCCATCAGCAGGCAATGTTCAGCCATGTCCAGGACAGCAGGGCTTCATCACATGTAACAGTTACTTGAAAAGACAAAAGCCATCGCTCTGAATACCCCCGCTTCCTCCTTCTTCCCCCAGCCTTATATGCTGAGCATGATGCCATATGATATGGGTATCTCTTTGGTCAGTTGGGGTCAGCTGTCCTGGCTGTGTCCCCTTCCAGCTTCTTGTGCACCTCCAGCCTACTCACTGTGGGGTGATGTGAGGAGCAGAAAAGGCCTTGACTCTGTGTAAGCACTGCTCAGCAATAACTGAAACATCCCTGTGTTATCAACACTGTGTCCAGAACAAATCCAAAACATAGCCCCATACCAGCTAACATGAGGAAAATTAACTCTACCCCAGCCAAAACCAGCACACACTGATAGCTGAATTATCAAATGCTTTTTATAGAAGTAATATTTTAAAATATTTTCCTTAAATCAAGATATGAGATGTCTATAAAAATTATTTAACATATAAAACCTCAAGCATTTGTAGGCTTTATAACAAAGTGCAATATAAGAGAGTGATGCCAATTTTTGAAAAGGAAGTAAGACAGACTTTGATTCTGAATGTGTAATCTGCATTATTATCCATTAATTCTCAATTTCAGCAACCCTGTTTTTCTAGATATGCTATAGTAATAACATATAAAATCATAATGGGAAAGAATCACCTGAGAAAAAAAACCAACCACCGTGCTCTATTTTTCTCAGCAAATAAATACTCAACAAGAACTAAGTACCTATTTATTGATCTCAAAGGTCTTTTCCAACCCAGTCAATTCTATGATTCTATGATTTGGATATAAACACATTTTCTAACTGAAAAGGCAAATTCAATATGTTGTTTTATCTGCTTCTATGGAAGATTTGTAACTGTCAGGCACAAAATAATATTTACAATAAAACTGGGGGTAGGGGGAAAGGCTGAAAAATACAAAGTCAAAATTCCAGAAAATTGGAAATGCTGAAATGAAGTTTGCCTAGGAAAATTATATCTGTTCCACCTTGCACGTATGCAAACAATAAAGTCTATAATTATACATACTATCTACCACTGAATCCCAGCTAATTCCACACAAGGTTGACTACTCACTATTTTGCTTTGCCTCATTATTTTCTTTGCATCTATTGCACTCTGTTAAAACCATGCTTTGAAGACAGTACTGTCAGTTTCCCTCTTGGCTTCTCTTCTCTTAAGTGTTTATTGCTGAAGTCACACAGTTCTTCACAACTATTAATTAATTTTCAAAATACTTGCAGTGGCTTTATATCAAGTGATACTGTTCTTATGCTACTGAAGGGGAATTGAAGCACAGAATTGATTTGCTCACTAATGTTTGGTACTTATTGGATTTTCTCTATTTATTTTTAGCTGTGGCAAGCTAATTTATATAACAAGTCAAAACTAACAGAATCTCAGAAACAAATTAATGATAGAGCCTACTGCATCCATTAGGCCTTCCCCTTTCCTGAGTGACATTTCTAAGCCCTGATTCTTTAATTCTTCAGCAATGAGCTACTCACCTACCAGAGCCCAAGACTCTGAATACAGATGGGCACTGGACAGACAGGAGCATTATAGTTTCTGTAAAATTACTCAATACAAGAAGACAGACTACATTCTGGAGTGTATGCCACAACTAAGATATAGAACTGAAAGAGCGTGCCTGTGACCTTAATTGCTTGATAAATGTAACAATCTTCCAGAAAGTAACTGAAATGTGTAATGACTAAGACTGAATAGTAAACAGTCACACACGTACTACGACACAATGACGCTCTCCCCCTTCACAGAATCACTGCCCAGTATGTTTTCTTCATCAGTAATTCCTCACCCAGTTTAAAGAGGAGTTGGAATAAGAAAAGTTTTTCATTGAGTTAGAGCTATGCTGTTATAGAGAAAAATTCAAGTCTTTACAGAAGTAACAGAACTGGATTAAAAGTTATTAGGATTGAAAAGAGTAATCAGAAGAAGGTCCAGTATCCTGGTTCACTTAATGCACTTATGACCATGAAGATCAGTTTAACTTTGGAGTTCCCCCCAGAAGATGAAAATTAATATAGAGAAGTTTAAAAGAGAACCACAAAAGAGTTCTATCTTAAAACATACTTGCATCTTCCTCTAGATATGATTTTGATATAGTATTATTAATATAATTAATTTTAGGTATTCCTTTTGCTAATCTTCAGAATAAACTGTCTACATTACTTTAGGCTTTCCAGGCAATGGATACTCAGTTTATCATTCTGGTGTGAACTTACTTTAGGGCAAAAATAGACTTGAAAGAATTATTCCAGTACTTTCTTACAATAATTAAATGCTAATTTCACATACTGAGACTGGGACGAAGTTAGCTTTCTTCAAGCAGCCTGTATGGTGCTGTGCTTCAGATTTTTGCTAAAACAGTGTTCATAACACACTGATGCATTGGTTATTGCTGAACTGTACTTGCACAGCATCAAGTATTTCTCTTTTAGTCCCCCTGTGCCCTCCCATAAGTAGAGAGAGGATGGGCAAGGATTTGGGAGCACACAGCCAAGACAACTGACTCAAACCGGCTAAAGGAATATTTCATACATCTAACATGAGGCTCAGCAATAAAAAGTGGTGGTAGAGAAAAAAGTGGAGGGAGAAGGAGGATTATCTTTCAAGGTGCCACTGCTGGGAGAATGACTGGGAATCAGTCTGTGGTAGGTGGTGAATGATTTTCTTTGCATCATAAGATTTTTTCTTAGAATCATATAACTGAATTTACATCCACAAGCGCAGGGAAAAGTAAACTGAAGTGATGCTTAATCTGAAGTGATTAAAACACGGATGAGTAAGATTTTTTATTTCAGTATTGTATGCCATTCTTCCTATTTTCCTTAATAAAATACACCAAATGTTTGTTTTAGTACTTTACAACAGGAACAACAAAGTAGTTGGTGGGCCAGGAAATACATTATTATCAATAATATTCAAGTTTTTCAGAAGTTCTGCAGTTATACGTGGTATTGTGCTTGTTTTCTGAGTATGTATTTAAACCCATATTCTGTCTCCAAAAGCTCACAGTCTGAAGAAAGAAGCACTGCACAAAACCTGGAGAAGGAAAAAAATAAAATAATAATAATGATTTTTAAAAAATAGTGTTTAAG